GGGGGGGGAAATGTAAGAAGGGTTCAGCTCCCTTGGCATCTCCCTGAGTACACTTTGCCTGCAGGTGTTTCACCCGGGGAGGCCACCATGGTTCCCTGGCAGCTGCCGAACACGGAGCGCCGCCAGGGGGGGGAGAGAGGGGTTCAGAGGAGGAAATACCCCACCCTATCCCCCACCCACCCACCCACCCAGCCACCACCCACTATCGCCCACAATGCCCACACAACGCCCCAACCACCACCACCACCCCTTTGCCACACCCCAACCACACCATACCTTGCCCTCGCACACCACCTCCGCCTTGAACTTCTTGGCCGCGCCCGGGCGCCTCACGTACACAGCCGTGGCGTTGGATACCTGGAGGGGGTTGGAGGCGGGGGTCGGGGGGACGTCCTTGCAGGAGATGTGGCATGCGGATCAACGTGGGGGGGGGAATGTGCTGGTGTTTTTGCGGTGGACAATCGTACACGCGGTCTCCGGACCTTAGGTGGTGTGTGTATGTGTATCTGTGTGCGCGGTCTCTCCCTCTCCCTCTCTGCCACCATAATGTAATAGCCACCAACCACCCAACGACCGCTCGTAACTGTCGTCGTACCCACCACGTGGGAGTTAGTTAGTATGGTCCTCTTTCCCGTGTCCAGTACGAAGGCGCTCCCGGTGCCAGTCCGCTGGGGGCACATCTGCCAGGGCTGCGCGTAGTTGGGGTCCACGCGGCTGACGAAGACTGAGCAGGCGCCGGTGGCGGGGTGGGGGGCAGGAGGGGAGGGGAGGGGAAAGAAAGCGGCACGCGATTTCAGAAAAAAATGCGATTTTCCTGAAAATTGCAATTTCCAGGAGGAAAAAGGAAAACCCACTGATTTTCTCAAGTAGAAGTCAGGAAGTGAAAATTCTAATTTGATGAGGTGGAGTTTGGGTTGAGAGGGAGAGGTCACGACGACGGGCTCAGGCTATAGGGTGCGGCGGCGGGACCACGGAAGAATGCTTGCAGCATAAAACATGTCGGCTTTTGCTCTTTGCCACTCTTTGGTTCGAATCCGCGCTGCGTAACGGCTGTTGTCTCTCTCCATACACAACACGTACAAAACTTCAAACTCGGTCCCTCGCGAAGACAAGATACATGTTCCGAGGACATCTTCCAGAAAGCTTTCAAAATTTTTTTGAGGAATACGGAATGTACGGCACCCGAAATCTCGTCCCATGTCATTACGAGTAGGGGGGATGCGAAATGCGAAGCACTAGAAGGGGCGAACAATAAGGAGTAGAGGACACAGAAGAGTAAGGAGTAGAGGACAAGGAATAACACCAACTTGATGGAGGGTCTGCCCCAGCTGCAGGTGGCTATCCCTCCCCCCTCGCACCCTTGAGTACAGAGCTGAGCGCCCATGCCTTCCTTCTCAGCTCGCCCGTGACCTTAATGGTGGGCTGCGGCGGCGTCGCTGCGGCAACCACCCGGGATTCGGATGCCTGAACGGAAGATGTTCCATGCAGCAAAGGTTTCAGCGGTGGGTGGCAGCGCTCGAGAAGTCGTGGGTGATCTGTGAGCTTATGGAGTTGTGCGGGTCGTCGTTGCGGTTGTTATGGTTTCGGAGCCTAGCTTCGCGTCAGACGAAACGGCGTCCATGCAGGAGTAGCTTGCTATGACGAAATCCGGGCAGTTCGGATGCTTACGTCGTCATCGGATCCGAGCGCCGCGATGAGCGGCGTGCCGCCGCCTAGGGGGAGCTCAGCCCCATCGAGCGGGTTCGCAGTAGCCGCCAGTTCCTGGCCGTATCCGTCCTGGTTGTTTCCGTTTATAGAAAACAAAGAACCGCAGCGCTGTAAGTTCCTGTGCTTACGCGTCGGCAAGTTGTCAAGTCGCGCTAAGGAACTACGCGATGCTGCGCGGAGGGGAGGGGCAGTGGCGGCAGCTTTGTAGAGTTTCTTCGGTTGCAGGTGCATCAACGTCATCTCGTGCAGTATATGTATCCTGTTTGAACTTGATGGGGTCTTGCTGAAGCCCGACTTTCCGTGCTTGTCCTACTTCGGACCTGCCGTACTGCTGGCTTTTTTAGAACCCTCCGAACAACTGTGCATGATTACTGCTGCTTATCTTTATACCAGATGCTACACACCCTTCAGAGGCTTGAGACGCCGGTTAAAATGCGTGTATGTCTTGACTGATAGGATTTGTTACAAAGCATCTGAACCCGGCCAAAGCTTAACATCCATACATAAGGGACTCATGGCCCACAAGTCAGAAATGTCCCATGCTGTCGATAATACGAAGGTCATAGCGCAGTTGTTCCTATGTTCAGTGCTAAACTCCCACAGGACCAGTGCCACGCCCCAAATTGGACATTTTGTCAATTTATCATGAATAAGCACAATAACCAAAACATTTTCAGAGTCTTGCATTCAAGACTCGCATCGCGAATGTGCTGCGCCCTGTAAGCGGACCTTCCACCCCCTATCCCTTAGCCCTCTGAGAAACACAATCTCAGGGTCCCTACTCCAGAACACCTAACATGTGTTACGTCTATTGCACAATTTTATGCACCTGCCACTTTGAGTGATACTGGAGCAATCACACTCATCTTGTCTCCGTTTACACACGCCGTACACTGCAAGATCCTAAACGGTTGCCCCGAAGCCATCAACCGTTCCAAAGCATGCTTTGCGAAAGGAAAAACCAAGTACCGCGGTTCCCGCAATCCAAATGCTCCATACCCATGAACAGCGGTCCCAGTTCCTTGAACAGCGGCTCCAGTTCCAGCAGCCCTAATTCAGCGCTCACTCCACAATCACCGCTGCCTTTCCTTCTTATTTACTTGCGCTTCTGAGGGGGCGGGGGCGCCTTGTACGTCTTGGCCGTGACACGGTTAAGTAGCTGCTTGACTTGGTTCGTATGCAAGCAATGCAAGAACTCGGTCAGCGTCAAAATCTTGCCGCTGTTCAGGTCTGCCGTGCCGAACACCTGCTCCAACTGCATGTCTAGCTCCGCTCGCCCATAGCGCAAGTACATGATCTGCATTGCCTCCTCTAGGGTGATGAACCCCTGGTTATTCTTGTCGTTCATGACGAACTCCACGACATTGAAGAGCCCCCGCGGCTCATATCCGGTCTTGTCATCTCGGCATCGTGTGTATAGCGTCTGAAACTCTTGCAAGCTGATGCAGCCATCACAATCTTCGTCGACCTCCCATATCATGTCTTCCACCTCGCCGCGCTTAGGTTTATGCCCTAACCGGAGAAAAAGCTCCGTAAGCTCCTCTGCATCAATCTTCTTATCTCCCTTGCTGTCTATGGTGTTGAATGCTCGCTCAAGCTCATTCTGCTCGTTCTTACGAGCATACCGCTCGCGAGCAGCGGCGGTCGCCATTACACTATAACCCTATTAAATTTCACCGTATTAAAAGTTGGGTTTGTAAGTATTGATGCTTGGGCAAGTCCAACGTCTGTCGCTCGGCAAATGCAAAATAGAATCAACACAAAAGACTACGTGGATGTATGCTTCAGACACTTCTTGCAGTTTATAATGTTGGTTAATTATAAACATGTTCTGCGAAGCGAGAGATGGCCTTAATCGCAAGTCCTTAGACCGCCAATGCAAAGCGGCAGCGGGCCTGTACAACATAAGCTAAAATTAACCTCGCAAGCGAAACGAAATAAACAAGATCACCTGAATATAAACCCTTCAACTTGATAGAGTCACTATGCTGTCGAAACAGTATGGCTAGGAGCTTCTGCAATCATCAGGATGAGCTTCTTATATTTTCTCAATCAGCACTTGACTTATGATTGCATATGCGACTACCTGCATGCGTTCCTAGCTCATCCATAAGCAAGCACACGTCCCATCGCCCTTGACATAGGCCCCCAAACAGCCCCCTTAAAGCAGCGCAACCATGGACAGCCAGTCTCGGATTCGAGAAAACATGCGACACATCCAGGCCTTTGAGGCCAAACCGAACCCCAAGCCTCTCTCGGAAACGGCCGTCACTCGCGGGTTTGAGAAGGTGGCCTTCCCAAAGCTGGTAGGCTGGGGCTGGTGGCTGCTATCTGGCTGGCTGGCTGGCTGGCTGGCTGGCGACGCGACCCACATCGGGCACATGGAGGCATAGATGCGGGGGATGGCTGATGACGTATTCGCGTCGTCCACCCCGCGCTGGTATCCTCCTGGCAAGACGCTCCCCTCACCCGTTCAACAATCACAGCTTCCACAGGACGCCCTAAGACCCCTTTCCCCTCCGAACCTATCACTTGCCCGGTTGCTGACAACAGACGCAAAGTCCCAATGGCAATTTCCAACCCTAACCATAACAGTCTAACCATCACCCCACTGTGATACCCCCTCCCGGCATCATACCCGGCCCAGCCTCTTGTCCCCCCCTACCCACCGGCAGTGTAATCATCCCTCCGTCACTCCGGGCCCCCTCCCCACCCCTCATACCCAACCCCCACACCTCGACTTTGCCTTAGCACATGGGCTGCATTGTGTTTTGCCGGTATGGACGCATTGTGTTATATCTGTATGTATGTCGTACAGGTCCGGGAGCTATCCGGCGACAATCCCATTGTACGACAGAAGGCCCTGCTGGCAGCACGTGACTTGCTTACCTCGCCCGTCAACCTGGTGCAGTGTGTGGCTGCGGGGGCCACACCGGCCATCGTTGCGCTGCTCGGGGTAAGGTGGCGCGCACGCGCGTGTGTCGTGTGCGTGTGTATTTAGGTACGGAAAAGGAGATTCCCGCCGTAGTTGGGCGTGGGGGCAGACACCGCGGACCGGCATCTCTTCAGGGCATCTATGTACACCCCGAGGAAAGGCCCGGAGAGGGCTTTCAACACCCGGATGCCAGCCAGCCGCCTGACTTCCCGTGCACCGCAGCTTCCACACACCCCTCATTCACCCGGCATATGAGGTTGATGATAAGCGTCATAAGGGATCCATCCTATCAATCCATCAAACAAAAGCTGACCGCTGCTTATCGGTAGGCAATCCTGACTCACCAAGGTCAATCCTGACCAGCCGCTGGCCCTGACCCCCC